ACCTTTTGCAAAGAGTTGCCAGTTGAATAATGCATCATTCCCTGACAGGTGACGCTGTACTGGGGTTAATGTATCGTCTCGTTGCAGTCTGTTTCTTGGAGACAGTCGATACAGAGAGCTCCAACTGCACGTAGTTCAGCCGTGCAGGGGCACCAGTTTTGTCAGGCTGAAGTTGAAATGGATAGGCACAAAATCACATGCACACACACACACACTCCACATGTTCTAATCTGAGTTGTTAAATAAGGTATGTGCTGCTTCTTATGTAAATTTGGCTGAAACAATGCTGTGGACAATGTCAAAACTGATGTGCTCTCAGCGCCCTGGTCAAGCAGTCCCTGAGCAGCCAGTTTTTATGGGTGAATAATGAAGCTTCAGGTAATGTGCATCTCTTCAGATTTTACAAACCACACTAGTATTTTTCCTTTAGACTACTAGGGTTTCTACCTCTGTATAACAGTTGACATCTGTACATGCTAAAACTGAGTGTGGTGTTCAAGTTGCTCAGGACTAGAGAGACCCGTTTTAACGCTTTCAGTTCTCCCTTTTTGTGGTTTCTCCCTTGCCATCATCTTTCCATCCCTGTCTAGCATTGTACTCTCTTTACCTGTGACATCTCTTCCAGGAGTACCGCTGGCCCATTTAATGTTTTTTCTGTTAACAACAGTCTATGATCAGTCCGTCTCTCTGATTTTGCTGGACACTTTGCTCAGTAAAAACACAGAGAGCAATCTCCAATTACTGCAGCACTGACGCTGGAGATAAATGTGATTCCCTTAAATTTACATGCTAGGGGAGAGCCTCAAATGTTAACCATAACTGAATAGATTTAGGAACACTGTTGTTGGCACTCTAAAATGCTAGATCAGCTGAGCTGCTGGTTCCAGTTCATTTATGCTTGTTCAATACACCCCAAAGCCAAGGTGCAAATGCAGCCCAGATCGCAAGATGAAATGTCTGCGCCTTGTCTTGGTACTTGGTATGTATTAGCTCATGTTAGAAAACCACCATGCGGTTGGGCATCTTAGAAGCATTGACTTACAAAGCACCCGCTGTTTTTGGTTTTGGGTATCATAGCTTCCTGTCTCTTATTTCTTATCCCAAGTCTCCCACAAAGATTTATGTAATCTGTTTATTAATATATCAAAATTACACCCTCTACAGCTACCCATCCCTTTGTTGAATGCTGATGAGAAACATTCCATGTTCCCAAAGGCTTCATATAAATAAAACAAGACAAATGTGAAATGAGGTGCAGGACAGCTGCTAGCCACAGATGAAAGAATAGATGTAAGATGGTTGCATCAGTGGGTGGTGATATAAAGGGTACTCTCAAATTCCCTAGCCATGCAGTTAGAACAGGTGGGAGAAACAGCTGTTTGTAAAGAGGGGTTTTTTTATCATTTCTTTTATCGTCTTGCACAATGTATCACTGAGGCCACTTTGCTTTTATTAATGTAACTCTTAGTACCTAAATCTAGCTATTTAACATTTTTGCGTATTGCTCACTAGCTTTTAGTGCTTCTGAATACTTTAAGTTCCTCAGATATCTCTAGTGTAGATACAGAGTACATGAAATAGTTTTTCTGAAAGCACAGGCCACAGAATCATTATTTCAGGAGGAATATTTTAGAGGAGAGATGTGGCAAGTACGTTGACGAACTAGAAGCCTTGAGACATCCAGTCTGGCAAGCTGGTTTGTGAAAATCTGTTGTAGGAATTTCTTAAGAAGCATATCCATTGATCTGAATCCCTCAAACTTCTCCAATCCCTATTATTTCCTCCTTGATTTCTTTGGGAAATAGGGGGGTTTTTTAAGTTTTAAAAGACTAGTTCTTTCTAAAAAGTATTTTTGCCTTTCAACTCTCTTTTGCCTTCTGTATCTCATTTCATACACTGTGCCAAACACAGCTAAATTGAACTTCTGTAAAAAGATGAATAAATGGTGTTTGCACTTGTGTGTAGATTGGAAGCTTTAGGAAGAGGAGTTACGAGCTACTTGACTGAATAGAAATTGTAACCTGTGTTGAAGTCACAAGTCCAGTGTTCAGCTTCTGGAATGTTGAAGGAGAAGCTTGCAGGAGGACAAGATGAATACTGAATTGTGAAAGAACATCAGTTACGGTCATAGAATAGAATCATAGAATCACTTTGATTTGAAAAGACCTTTGAGATCATAGAGTCCAACCTTTAACCTAACCCTGACATCCCACCACTAAACCATGTCCCTAAGCACCTCATCTATCCTTCTTTTAAATACCTCCAGGGAGGAGGACTCTACCACCTCCCTGGGCAGCCCATTCCAGACCCTGACAACCCTTTTGGTGAAGAAGTTTTTCCTAATGTCTAGCCTAAACCTGCCCTGGCGCAGCTTCAAACCATTCCCCCTCACCCTATCATCTGTTACCAGGGAGAAGAGGCCAACCCCCACCTCCCTACAGCCTCCTTTCAGGTAGTTGTAGAGGGCGATCAGGTCTCCCCTCAGCCTCCTCTTCTCCAGACTAAATAACCCCAGTTCCCTCAGCCGCTCCTCATATGACTTGTGTTCCAGACCCCTCACCAGCTTGGTTGCTCTCCTCTGGACATGTTCCAGCAATGCAACATCTTTCTTGTAGTGAGGGGCCCAAAACTGAACACAGTATTCAAGGTGCGGCCTCACCAGCACCGAGTACAGTGGCACGATCACTTCCCTACTCCTACTGGTCACACTATTTCTGATACAGGCCAGGATACCATTGGCCTTCTTGGCCACCTGGGCACACTGCTGGCTCATATTCAGCCGGCTGTCAACCAGTACCCCCAGGTCCTTTTCCACCAGGCAGCTTTCCAGCCACTCTTCTTTCTTCATGATGAAAGAGTTAAGATTTTTTGTTTTCTCAGAGGTGAGGTTTGAAACACAATAGGAGTCTCCAAATATGTAAAAGTTTGCTGTGAAGAGGAAGACTTTTCCTTAAGCCCACCAGGAAGAGAACAGCGTTGTACTAGGGGGGTGCATGATTACGTATTGAGAAAGTCTTTCAGACTTTCAGAACAGTTAGCAGTGTTATAAAATGCTGAAGATGTCGGATCTCTGAACTTAGAGATGTTTAAAAACAGGTTACACAGATGGCTTACAAATTATTTAAGTGTTGTTTGCACTGCCTTCCTGTACAAAGGTAGGCTCCAGAGGTGTTTCCCAGACCTGTTTATCTGTGACTCTTAAGTCACTACATCACCTTTCTTAGACAAGAGTTCACAGTTGATTAGTGCCATGACAGGGGGTTAAAAGCCCTTTTACTTCACAAGTAGAAACATATTTGGTTACTTACTGTTAATATGTCTACATCATTAAATTATACAGGCTGCGCGGTTTCTGTATGAGAGAGATTCAAGACAAGGATTACAGGTATAGGACATATTTCAGCATGTAAATAAATGCATATGTTAAAGTTTTAATTGAGTTTTCTCATCACATTGCTGATTTAAATAGGGTATGTCCCTCTCCTTTCCACAGGTACCAATTTTATATTGTATCAGAGATGTGGAAATTTATTTGATTTTCTAGAAATGAGGCTTCATTGGCATTTGTTTGGAGCCAGTGTTTGAAGATGATGTTCTGTATGAGAAATCGGCTTACTCTCTAACAAGACCTGTGGGGTTCATGGCAGTGACTGATCAGGCTGTGGTTCGTCCTTGTCTTGTAGCTGATGAACTTTGCTGTTAGAATAAATGGGGAGGTCAGTGTGCCTGTACCTGGAGCACTGCTGCTCTCTCCCTCCCATCTCAGAGTGTCGTGGGGAAAGTTGAAAAAACTTCAAATAAAGGTGAAACAAGTTCTGTATGAGGAATGGCTAAGTATACTAATGCTCTTCAGGCTAAAAAAAAGAGAACTGAGTGGAGATATGAGAGAACCTATGACATTAGGTATTGTGAGGAAGAGGGGATAGGACTGGCTGTGTACTCTTTCTTGCAGGCAGGAACTAGGAGGCATCAAACAAAAGGAGCAGGTAGCAGGGTCAGAACAAAGGAGGTTCTTTCCACAACATGGTTAGACTATGGAAGGGATACTGTGATCCAAGAAGCAACTGGACAGCTTCATGGAGAAGGAATCCCTCAAGAAGAGTTAAATGCAGAGATGGAACCTTTGTCTCAGGAGATCCCTGGAGTACAAAGAATTGTCGGCTTGGAAAGTCTCTCTACAAGCCTCCCGTATTCTTATACTTTCTGTTTTCAGTTTCATCTTTTACAGCCATACTGTGTTATTTCATTCCCTCTGGTGAGAGCGACTGGAGGAAAATTTATTATGAATTAGTGAAGAAGCCAGATCCCAATCGTGCTGAGAAATGGCTGTGAGTTGGCCGGTCTCACTGATTTCCTGCGGGGAAGCAGGGAATTGTGGTGTCCAAGATGACTCATGCCGCCTCAAACTAGGGATCCTGTTGCTTTGACCCTGCACAGCAGCACGGCTGAATACACCCATCTGTCAGACACAGTCAAGAAAAGAGACCTCACCATGAGATTAATGAATCTCTTTTGTAACAGAGACTGTCTTTAGAGGCAGCATTTTAATCATAGCAGGTCTGGAAGAGAGAAGACCTCGCTTTTCCACATAATGTAAACATACTCAAAAGTTAGACTTGTGATATTTCCATGCAATAAATTTCAAAAGAAAATAGACACAACTGCATTACAACTGAGCTTGTACCAGCAGCATTTGGTGATCCCCAGTTGGAAAGCTGACTCAGGAGAGAAAATATTTTGCCTAAGAACACCCTCTTTTTAAATTGAAGCTGTTTTACAAAAAATAAATGCAAATGTGAGAGTTGAACTTCACTTATTTTATTCCATGATGACAGGTTTCAGGAAGGCTAGAAAGGGAGTCAGGGCTTCATAACATTAGTGGGGGGAAGTGCCCATCATTCTCATCTTCTTAGCCAGAGACGATGCATCTGAGGGCTGCTTTATGGAACGACTGCAAAAGGGAGCTTCCCAAGGAGGGTTGTCTGAAATATTCATATTCTTTAGACAGTTCCATCTCCCTGGAAAAATAAAAACATGAAGGTAATTTAGTTGCTGCCATTCCTGTGACTTTCAAAGGTTTTTATTATTTCCCAGTGGCTATGGGAATAAACACCATAAATATTGAGATCATATTTTCAGCACCTGGCAACACTGTAGGGTTTCAGCTGTGCTTTAGAAAACATGACTGTGGCGCTAAATGAAGGCTGGTTTAGTGTTTCAGACTGTCAGCTAGTCAGGTGTATATATAACTATCGTCAGTACATAAAATAATGGGAAGAAAACCATCAGTTCCTCACCCCACAACATCTGCAACATTTGCAGTCCCCACAGAGTGTTCCAAACAGGCCATTCACCACTTGAATGCCACAGAGCACTGCCTGGATCCCACTCATGATGAGCAGCAAGGAGAAGAGGGTCAGATTCCACGGGACGATGTTTTGGGGTGACTGACATGCGTTCCACAATGTGTGGTTAGCGAGGTAATTCCTGGGGGGGGAAAAAAGACAGTTATGAAGACGATGACGTTAGCTCACAGAGGGGGGGTCTGTCATGGCTGACAAGTTGTCACTGTTCTGATGTTCTCTTAGCTTCAGTTCTGCGAGAAGCAATTCTCATTATTGCACCGGTGCTTCTTAATCTAGAACGTGATTTCATTTGAGTTTCTAGATCAACTGAAGCTACTGATTTGAAAAGACAAGGCACCAGAAGGGAGCAATCAGAGATGAGCATGTGTTAGATACAGTTGAACAGTTTCTGGTATTTTGGGAAGAAGAGATCTTAGCCAAGCATGTGCCAAAGGGATGTTCATCCCTGCCAATGTCTTTTGTTGAAGGCATTTTTGCTACTGCTGCTGTGGTTCTCTGCTGGATGAAGCAGTGCTGACATCTGGCGGTACATCATACACCCCCAACGCATACCCCTACAGATCTGGGACTCGCAGGGTGGCACCTTCTATAACTCCTCCTTGGCAGAAACTCCAGGGGTGGGATGTGTGTGTGAGGGGGTGTCTGCATCTAAATATTTGTCTTAATTTACTGTATTACATTCTAATAAAACAAACAAACAAACAAAGAATTATCAAAACAATAGGATAAAAGATTAATAAACTCAGTTTTCCTAACAAAACATCAAATGCTACAATACCACTCACCTCTTGCCCACTGAGCAGAAACAACTCCAGGGGTGGGATGTGTGTGTGAGGGGGTGTCTGCATCTAAATATTTGTCTTAATTTACTGTATTACATTCTAATAAAACAAACAAACAAACAAAGAATTATCAAAACAATAGGATAAAAGATGAATAAACTCAGTTTTCCTAACAAAACATCAAATGCTACAATACCACTCACCTCTTGCCCGCTGAGCAGAAACAAACAACCTTTGCTGTTCTAGATGCCTTGTCTAAAGAACAGCAGTATTAAGTAAAAGTATTTTCCATAATTTTTACCATCACGTTTTGATTTGTGAACTGCTTAACCATTTACTATATTTCCTCTGCATATTCTTAATGCTATTTTGTTTCCTGTGTTCTTCTTGTCAAGTGATTCCTTGACTGCAACTAAAATTATGTTTGAAACAAGAGCGTATTTTTCCAAATACTCCCAGAATTAGACCAAAGCAGTTGGTTTCCAGCCCTCACTGGCCCATGAACAAACTGTGTAACATACCTCTTTTTTTCTTTTTAACCTGATCTATAATGTTGTGGTGTATTATGTGAGAAACACTGCTAGGTCACTCTTGACCAAGGAAGATCGCATTAAAAAGATTCTCAGGTGATGAGGGGTTTCCTGCACCCCTTGTCGATCTGTCCTACTCTCCTTGGTAACGCATTGTGCCCTCTTTTCACTTGGACCTTTGCTGACTTCAGCCCTGAGCAAATGGATTGCTAGGGTTTCACGTTCTTCACCTCTCTGAAAGCGATAAATACACATGACAGCAAATATGTTTGAGTTACAGAGTGTGAGGAACAACTTCCAAATTCCATAACCAAGATAAAATAACACATAGATACTAATGTATCTGGATACCATCAAATTTCAATATGAGATGTCACTGCTATTTATCTAGGTGGAATTTATCCCCATATACTGCTTATCATCCCAAGAATAACCGAGAAGGCTGTGCATTTCTCTGCATTGGCTCCTTTGAAACTCAGTAGTTTTGATTGTACTTGCTAGTCTTTACATCTGTGTTCTTGAGCCTTATTTAGTATTGCTGTGCATTGCTGGCTCTTCTAAGAGTTTCCGTGTTTTAGACAAACAGTATAATTCCCATTTTTATACAACAGATTTGGAAGTTAAATCATATCACAAACTTAAAACGTGTATAACTTTTTTTTCAGATTGTCTTGTCTTACCCATCCTGGAAAGGATAGGTCCACTCTGTTCCAGTGTAACATTTAGGGCCTCTGTTTAGGGCTACTGCTGACAAAACAAAGCAGTATCCAGCTCCCAGAACTCCAACTGCAGCAAATATTATAGAAGAAAACATCTGATGAAGAGAAAAATAATGTTATTTTTGTTCTCATTCAAACAATTAAATGTGCCCTATTAATGTGAATGTGATTTCCCTAAATTTGGCTCTTAATGGTTGAAATAGTCAACTCCTGAACAGCTAAGACATATTAGTTTGCAAGTACATAATAAATGTGTCACCATACCTGCACTGGTATTTAGAAGCTTTAAAAGAATTAACACCACTGAAAGGGGTCGATGCTGACACAGTAGATGGCACTCCTCCCCTTTAGACAGTATTTATCCAACAGACCTTGTTGTTCAAGGTCCTGTGTTTCACTGCAGTGGATGGCTTTCTCAAGAGATTATACGCAAGACTGAAGTCTTAGACCGCTCAAGGCATTACAAAAAAAATAAATCTATAGTAACCTTTACATGTTAGCTTTGGGATCTTGGTCATATTTGGACCAAGTAATTATATTTTTCCTTCCTGAGTCTCCCTTTCAGGTTTCATATTAGGACGCTTTATCTCCTCACAGGTACTTGTCATCATTAGCTTTAATAGTGCAATTGGAATGGCTTTCCATTATAGCATTTTCATATATACTAATATGTAAGTAAACCATGCAAAAACTAATGCCCTGTTTGAATTCTGAAACGCTTGTAGCCATAATAGTTTGTAGGTAGAGGCAGAGTCTTTTATTGGATCAAAGTGATACAGGTGGAGGAAAAAAAAGAGACTTTCAGGTCTGTGAGCTTTTGTTCAGACCTCATCACAAGACTCATGCCTTAAGTATTGACATGCATTTTTATGTTGTTATATCTGATGAGGCTAACTTAAACATTATGTTTATGTAGTAGACATCATAATCATGGTGTTTCTGCTAACATACAAGAACAAATTCAGTTCTCAGTCATGCTGTGGTAAGGCCAACAGGACACTTTTAGTCTGGTGTACTTTGTACTTGCGACTGTATTAATATTCCCAGTCTCTCAGTCAGCTGCACTCTAACATGAGTCAAGAAAGTGCTGCACTGCAGGACGCAGGTTGCTTTATGGGGAGCACCATGCGTACAGAGTTTAGCTCACATGCGGCAATGCACGCTCACAGCCAGTCACCCCCAGTGTACGACTCTGTGGCCAGTTCAGGGGCATTGCAGAGGTGTGAGAGGCAGCCTGGTAGCAAAATGTTAGTGGTTTGGTAGTCACTGGGCTATATGTGGTCTTCAAAGCTATTCTAAGATTGGGATTGCAGGAAGATGACGGGATTTAGGGAAGGCTCCTTGTTAACCTTACAGTCATGATTCTTTTCCTATTTGTTTTTTTCCCTTCTTTTTTCAGTTGAAAACCTGTTCCTTTATAAAAAAAGTGTAATGATCTACTCGAGCCAAACAATTTATTTCAAAAGGACTGTCGTAGTAGGAAGATACTTATTTTTTCTCTAATCTCATTTTTAAGCTAAAATGCTTGAAATGTTAGTGTCTGAACTTATCCATTTGAAACTTTTCACTTCTAGTGTGAAAGGAAGCTATAAATTTAAAGTGGAGCCTGGTCTACCTGGCTTTAAGCAGGAGGTTGGATTAGGTGACCTCCTGAGGTCTCTTCCAACCTGAAATTTCCTACGAACCTAGTGAGATACTCCCAGCCCATTGAGTGGGTCTGCAATGAGTTGGGAATGTAGTGCCCAACTGTCATTTTAAAAACTGCTAACAAAAAATGGCTAAAGAGAACTGTTATGCTCTGCAAAACAAAGTGCAGCTCTTTCAGAAATTAGTTTTAGTTGCGATAGCAACTATAAGCATCTTGTGACAGCAAAGTACAAGGCAGCACCGTTGTGGTGCCTGTGGCACAACATCAGAGGCATAATACAATTTTTACAGCCTGATATTCCGACTTTCCAGCACTTGGAGAAATGTCAGGGCTTCGTGTCCTGTGCTCTGGACAGCATCTGCCTAGTCTCACAATGACTGTAAGCAGCAGATACATACATCATAGCAGTAACAATTTAGCTTTTACTTTTTTGCCATGTTTCCTCTCACTTACCGCAAACCTCTTTCCACAGCTCTCGTTACCACAGCATCCACAGCAATCATTATTCTTAAGGCCCAAAAATACCAAGGCAGGAAAGATCATCTACCAATAACAGAAATATAGTTTGTATTGGGATGAATTCAAGTTACATTTGCTTTTAAATATAATAGTTCTATGTCTTTTTTTTTCTTATCATTAATTAAGTTACTTATTGCAAAATTTTTGGATGACTTGTAACTTATTTATCAAAGACAAATTTGCAGTGTTGGAACCTGCATTTGAGGGACTGAGAAAATTCAGCAATGCAAAGTCACGGTGTGGGTGGGGGGAAATAGGTGGGAATGTCTGAATTCATATACTCACCGATACGCCAGATCCCAAGATCCCTGCGAAGTACCAAACCTCATCTGTAATGTGCAGATTGTTTTCAACCACTTTTCCTCCAGGGAAAAACAACAAAATGTTAGCGAGGGTACATAGCACAGCCAGGGGGATAAGAGTGGTTCCCAGGCACTTAGCACAATCTCCTGTGCACATGCTTTTTTAAAGAAATGGCAGACACAAAGGCAGAGGAAAAATCTCTCGGACGTTCTCGAAACTGTTTTATAAAATGGAGCTTCTCGGTGAACTTTACAAAATCCAGTTTCTGCTGTGCCTTTGGAGGCGCTGAGTCTGTAGAATGCTCCCTTCAGAGACGTTGCAGCAGTCGATCAGAAATGCAGTGTGCTGGTTATTTATACGTTCTCGCAACCGTGATGTCAATTTTCTGAACATCCGTAAATGAAATTACGTTCAGTACAGCCTCTCATTTTACTATGACAACCAATAACCTCTGTTAATATTTTACTAATGTGGATGAGACACTTCGTTATCTGGGCTCAGGTCATGGGTAGATATCCTTCTTAGTTCTGGATCTTCATTTTCAGAACACACGGTCCTTCTGCACGCTAGAAAATACTTCTTTGTAACACATAACGAATCAGCTGATGTTATTAACAGCTGTGTGCAATGGAAAAGTTCTAGTGAATTGTCTTTTCTTTGGGAAGGTTGAGCTAATAATTTGTTATTTTGAAGCACTCAGACAATTTATAGATTTGCAATAGGCAGTGAGATCTTTATTCAGAGCTACCAGATGCAAAGCACTGCCTCCATTCAGATTAGCATTCAGATTCAGATCGAAAGTTCAGATTCAGATCAAAATTCAGATCCATTCAGCTAAAAAAAAATTTCAGTGGACTTGCTCCTTATGTTGTATCATTTTGTGCCCTCAAAGCCCAGCTTGAAGCCCATCTGCACTCAGGCAAAATTTCCACTTAAAGTTATGCTGCATGTGGCAGACAGACCCCTGAGCTCAAGCAGAACCTCACTGGTTTAGCATGTAACATTTTATTCAAGCTAGCACCTCTTTTATAGCAGGCACTGCAGCTCTTTAAAAGATGCTGGATATTTTCTCTCTATTTTCTCATATTTAGACCTGGTTTATTGTCCTGTAGAACTTGTGTTAGGGTGATTTTCGCACCAATCTTCATTCCTAGCAAATAGCGATAGATGCCATTCCACTGCTGTCCCTGTATGGACATAAGAATTCCATGTATTTTGAGAGGGACAACAGTTTCCACTTTGCTCAGAGAGTAAAGCTCAGGAAATTTTCATTCAAATTTGAAATAAGCCTTCTTTTAAAGATGTTTTTGGGTTTTGTTTTGATCCATATAGTAGATCTCTGCTGAATCTTCAGAGACAGGCAGCCCAGAAACATGTAAAATTTTACCTCGTACAACCACAAAATCCCATGAAGTACATGATACTGAACTGTTCAAAGCTGTCTTGAACTGTCCAGAGCTATGGCTTCAGGTTAAGTGGCAATACTGAATAAGCTGGTTTTCACAGCCACTATCCTTATAGAAATGACACAGCTGAAAGAAACCCAAGTCACTGTTCATCTAGACTAATTCCCTGATGTGGTTTGTCACAAGCCACACCGACAACTGTGCAGATACAAGGAGGCTGGCAGAGCAGGGACAGGGATATCTGGAGCCATCACTGATGCTGAGGAAATGTATTTGGAACCAGAGCCTGGGCCTGTCAGCTTTAGACTTCTTTGCAGAAACAGAAGGATAGAAAGCAGTTTTATCAGACTGGAGGGCCAGAACTAATGTTTTTAGGCAAATGTCTTTTTAAGGTGACAGTAGTAATACTAGAAATTGTATTGAAGTATATATGCAATTCTTGTAGTTGTGAGGTGCCACTGGAAGGGTTGTCAACTTGTGAGAGGGCTCTCAAATGCCTTTTTTCCTGAAGGTACCAACAGGATTGAACACAGGCAGGTATTGTCTCTGTCAGATAATCTGTTTGGGGTTCTGCTGTAAAATATGCATAAAATTTAAAGAAAATTAGTTACTACTAATTTAGGTGTGGCACTGGGTACACTCCTGTTGTTTTCAATAGCTAAATTCTGTCTAACTTCAAGCAAAAAGGATCACGGTCTCGGTTTTTGGATTAAAAACTGAAACTATGAAACCCATTTTCATGTCAGACTTAAGACTAGATTTTTGAGCTTCCTGTTTACTTCAGAGAGCCTGCTCTCAGACTAAGAATATTATCACAGTGTGATTTAATCTTTGCAGGTAAGAAATCAGCTTAGTTATTTACTCTGGACTCACTTGGCCTTGAGTGGAGCAACTTCTACAAAGAAATGCTACTTTTTCAGAAGTGTTCTTCTCTATATACTAGGAACCAACTGGGCAAATGCTAAAGGCTGTCAGGTTCTTTGATGGGTTAATTGATAATCACATCTTTCTGATATGTCTATTATTGTTTTAATTAAAATAAGGATTTGTGTAGATCAAGGGAAGTTTTTATTATTGAGAATTTATGGAACTCCCAATACCAGTCACTAAAACAGCTTTCAGTGGCTTGGGGAGTAAAAATGATGATTCATTTACAGAAGGACCACTAAGGAAAAATAACACTGTGATTCAGATGTCTGTGCAATATATGCCAACTTCTCTGTTAAGGAGTCTCTCTGGAGTATGTGTCTCAGAACAAGGCTGCGAGAAAAGATTATGTTGTGAGAAACAAACAAAAAATAAATCTGGACTGAGGTCAAATTATGTAAAAGCAAAGGAGCTAACTTATTTTTGTGTGATGATACTGTATCCTCTTAGTACAGTACAGCAGAGACAGAGCTACAGTGATACGACTTACACGCAAACAACTAATAGCAAAGTCACCATGGAGTCCATCTTATATTGTACTGGTCAAGAAATTATCCAAAAAAGTCCTAATGAAACCCAGCTTTTATCCCATTCCTTATGCTGTCACAGCCTCTGCCATTTTTCTTTTTACTTTTTTCCAGTTCTGCAAGGAAGCTCCGTCGTCTAAGCGACACACAAATAAAATGTCATACCTTTAAATCCTGGATGAAAGAAACACTGCTAAGAGTTGTGATCAATATTGAAGGAGGAGATGGCAGTATCACCCTCTGCACCTGTCATACATACACCTTCTCTCTCACTAGTGTAAAATGTTAATGGCAATAAAAGCCAACTCTAAAGTACAGCTTTGAAAGATCCACCTGAACGCTGTAAGATGAGGTTAGCAGACCAATTAGTAACGTGGAAAGGGACTCTGGCTCAGTTTGTTTAGTGCTGGAGGTGCCATGGGCAGAATGTTATCCTCCACTGTTGCTGTGTCAATGTTGCTCACACAAGACACCATGGGTCCCATCTTTCAAAAAAGAGTGAATGCCTGAATACATGGTATGATTCACATCAGCTCCATAGCTCTTGCACCAGGAATTCCCATGCTGCTAGGAAATATTATTTAGCTTATTTAACTTATTTAAACAACTCCCCTTCCCCTAAAAGTATCAGAAGCCCCTGGGATGATATAGAGATTTTTTTTTTGCTCTTTAGTTGACCTTTTCTCTGTGTAGATGACTTGCCAGAAATCAGAAGCTTACAGACTTTCTCTATTGGACTGTGCCACAGAGTATTTGTTTCTCCATATTTGGGATTAAAAGGTTGATTTTATATTTATTTTCTGATTTCTGGAAACTGTGCTACATGGTGCAAGACTTTTTGCAGGAAAGACTGAATTAGAAATGCTGTAATTTTTAACAGTCCTCTTCACTGAAACATTAAGTCACGTGATGAAGATTAATCAAAACCTGAATGTATCTTCCATAGATTCTATTTTGGAATTATGGCATATGCCAAATTTTAGGATAACACACACAGTTTTTTGTTTAAAAGGAGAATACTTCAAATCATATATACTTAAGCCCATTGTCCTGGTTTTGGCTGGGATGGAGTTAATTTTCTTCCTAGTAGCTGGCATAGCGATGTGTTTTGGATTCAATATGAGAATAACGTTGATAACACGCTGATGGTTCAGTTGTTGCTAAGCAGTGCTTACACCAGTCAAGGACTTTGCAGCTTCCCTTGCTCTGCCAGTGGCACAAGAAGCTGGGAGGGGGCACGGCCAGGACAGCTGACCCCAACTGGCCAGAGAGGTATTCCATACCTTATGACATCATGGTCAGTGTATAAACTGGGGGGAGTTGGCTGGGGGAGAGTGATCGCTGCTCGGGGACAGGCTGGGAATCGGTGGGCGAGTAGTGAGCAATTGCATCACGCATCACTTGCTTTGTATATTATTAATAGTGTTACTACTACTACTATTTTACTTTATTTTATTTCCATTATTAAACTGTTCTCATCTCAACCCATGAGTTTTCTCACTTCTACTCTTCCAATTCTCTCCCCCACCCCACCAGGGAGGGGGAGAGTGAGCAAGTGGCTGGGTGGTGCTTAGTTGCTGGCTGGGGTTAAACCACGACACCCATTCAGTAAAGGATGGCAAGAAATGATTGTCACCACTGCCAAAATAATCATATGCATTCATCTGTGTATTAAGAAGATCAGAGGATGGTTACTTTGTGAGGACAACTCCTATGTCTGTAGCACTGATGTCTGTAGTGCTGATGTCTGTAGTGCTGAGCAGACTTGTGATTCCTGAGTAAATCACACTAGTTTACTTTGTAAAAAAAGTTTTATTCAGGTATTTAGTAAGACAAATTTTGGGTGGTTTCTCAAGTTTGCATATAATGCAACACAAATGAAGTCCACAGGTTCTTGGCATGAAGAGCAGATCTAGCAGAACAGCCTGGACAGTGACAGTGGTTGTTCCCAATGGACTGGAAGATCCCTATCAAGCACAGTGCATTTGGTGCTGTTGGCACAGGCAGTTTTAGGAGGAGCCTGTAACTGACGATTCATTGAACAGTTTCTGGGAGTAGTGCTGTATTTGTTTTTCTTGTTGTGCCATTGTGATTCCTCTTTTAGCCATTTTGCTAGCAGTAGTGGAGGCTGTGAACAACATAAGCTGTTTGGTATCCGTTGGGAAAGCATGGCCCTTTATGTCCCACTCTGCTCAGCTAGAGCAGTTGGCTCTGTCAGGCTCTGGGAGCTTCCTGCTGTCGGCCGTGTGCTGCCTCAGCCTGTGTCATATCTAACCTGGGAGCGGGAGGTGCCTGT